AAAGCAGACGGTCACTGCCACGTCGTCGGCTGAGGCAGAATACGTCGCAATGTCCAAGGCGTGCAAAATGATCCTACACTGGCGTCATCGTCTCAAGACCATCAATCGAGAGCAGACGGAGGCTACGGTGTTCTTTGAGGATAGCACTGCTGCCATATCGACTAGTGAATCAAACAAAGTAACGCAGAAAACGAAGCACATCGATGTCAAGTATCACCACGTAAGGTCGCTGATCGTTAACAAGGTAGTGGAGGTAAAGAAAATCGACACCAACCTCCAGAAGGCTGACATGTTGACCAAGAACCTAGGAACGGTTAAGTTTCTCAACAACCGTCGCCAGCTTCTAGGAATGTAGTCACCTCCCCTCTTCGTAATCTTAAGGGTTGAATGTTGAAGGAAACTCGGGAGATCTGTGTAAGAGGAATGTTTTCGCTGCTTGTTGAAATGGCAGGTAATGACTATTTAATTTTGAGTTGAGATCGCAAGTACTCGTGAGTTGTTTTCGAGAGGACATTATTTTGAGAGGACATCGAGAGAAGATTCGAGTCTCATGTATCAGAATGACGTACGTTCTTGAGAGGACATGTTGGGGTGTTTGCTGTGCAAGACCGACTCTATTCTGCTGTATGTGTTTGATACGGTATTGTGAAGGCGTTCTGTTTTACTGTAACCGTCAGGTGCAGACAGTCCAGGCGTCTGTGTGTGGATAATAAATCACTCTTTTTGTTTTCTCTACCAAGCCTCTACCACATACGCCAACCAGCGTACTACAGCTGTGGTACCGCCCAACACAGACCACGTCACGTTCACCTTTATCCATCTGTTCTGACTGCTTGCAGGTGATCGTGGCGTATGCGATCGGGAAGGCTTGGAACGTCTTCTGAGCAAAGGCGCTCATGACCTTGCCGCCGGTCTTGAGCAGCACAAGCCGAAACGCTCTCAACAGATCATTGCTGAGGGGAACGCCGAGCTTCGACTGCTCGGCTTCTTCCCGCGCCCTGAGAGCAGCCTCCTGGGCTAGCGCTCGTGCAGCGGCAGCTTGATCGGCCTCCATGACTTCGCTGAGCTGCTTGTGTACTGGTTTGCGCTGAGTTGAAGCGCGTCCGTTGCTGTCTCGGCAGGGGCACGCTGCCCCCGTATTTTGAATTCCACCTACACCCCCCCCTTGTTTAATCAACGATATTGTGACTGCAACCNTCCTGGGCTAGCGCTCATGCAGCGGCAGCTTGATCGGCCTCCATGACTTCGCTGAGCTGCTTGTGTACTGGTTTGCGCTGAGTTGAAGCGCGTCCGTTGCTGTCTCGGCAGGGGCACGCTGCCCCCGTATTTTGAATTCCACCTACACCCCCCCCTTGTTTAATCAACGATATTGTGACTGCAACCCATAACCACGTTTGNAGCGGCAGCTTGATCGGCCTCCATGACTTCGCTGAGCTGCTTGTGTACTGGTGTGCGCTGAGTTAGTTGCAGCGCGTCCGTTGCTGTCTCGGCAGGGGCACGTTGCCCCGTATTTTAAATTCCACCTACACCACCCCCTTGTTTAATCAACGATATTGTGACTGCAACCCATAACCACGTTTGGGCTGTAATCTTGATCTTGGGGGGGTCGCATTTATCTTGCCAAGGTTTTTAGGAATCAAGATCAAGTTTTTTTTGCCATAAATAGTGGTCTAACCTCGCAGCCTTCTAAGGGCCAGGTCCTGGGTTCGAGTCCCGGCAGAGTGAGTTTTTTTCTTACTAACTAAATCCTGGTCTAGGATGATGAAAGCGACGCGTTGCAAAGCTCCTTGTCAGTAAAACATAGTCGACTTCGTAAGTCGCGAGGGAAGGGATTGATTTGCTGTACCCTTCTCGCGATAAAATAAATACCTCAGGCAGGAACCGCAGGCCACCAACCAGCGATACATTGTAATAGTACGTCATCACTAGTGGGGGGTTGGTGCATTGGTGCAGCGTTGGGGGGGGGGGGAATTGGCTAAAAGAAATTCAATCCGGCACGTATCGCGCCACTCGGTCCGTCTGGAGGGGCAGACGACAGAATCCGATGATGGGAGAAAAAAAAATACTGATCAAACACTTCATCACTCAGTTTGTTTGTGCAGGTAGTTCTGCGCCCAGGCAGCAGCGTGGCTCCTCATACGTTACACACGCAGATGATCTGGATAGATTCCAAGATAGATTCGGGTGATTGTCAATTGCAATGATGGCTTTGGTTGGGTGTTCTTCATTGTATGTCCACGGACTCATTCTGACAGCACTTCAGACAGCAGCTGCATGCCCCGAGCTTGTTGTTGTGTACCATGCACCATGCATGGTGCTATTATTGTACAGATAGCACTTCAGACGGCTGTAGTACGCTGTAGTCGACAAACATTCATTTTGGTTAAATGCGGCACAAGGGGGGTGATGCTGCTGCTGTGGTCGAATTGTAGTGTGTGGGCGTGTAGTTCAGTTGTGAGCACGCAAACGTGCCGCAGGGATTGTAGGTGTACCTCGGGCTTGTGTACCCTTTTCTTGCTAACATTGTGTGTGTTCGTTAGATCTTCTGATGCTCTAGCATTTTTGTGACCACGGACCGAGTCTTAGATAGATTTTGGGATTAGCAACTCACACGAGTTTGATGTGACGAACAACAACAACAACACCAATACACCTTGACACAAGTCCAATAGTCTAGAGGTAACTGAAAGCTCGGTTTTCTCTTCATCATGTTGTGGCGGACGAACAGCACCAAAAAACATGTTTTTTTGAGCACTTTACTCCACGCCCAAGGGACCTTTGCTCCTCTCGAAAAAGTGAGCTTACAGCCCTCTACCTAGGGTTTTCACAGCTATACCACACAACAAACCGCATCCAAATCGCATCAGCCAACCACTAGATCTACATGCCTGAAAACGGCCCCTCCAGTGGGACTGCAGCGCCCACACCAGCAGACCCTCCCCCCCCAAAAAAACGAGGTTCGCGCCGTTCGGCAGCAGGAGGCGCTCTGCGCGAAAGCTGAATCAAAACAAAACGAAGTTTGAAGAGAGTACGGGGCAGGGTATGGTTGCCGCGTCGGCAGAAGATAACACGCGGCGCGCTATCGAACGCGGCAGCCTTGCCGTCGTAGAGAGAATGCTGGACGAAACGAAGGAGGAGTTGGTCAAAAGTAAGAAAATTGTGGAAGAGAGCCAGGCTCAACCTCGCTGCCGCCGCCGCCGCTGCTGCTGCTGCTGCTGTTTTTTTCAGCAGCAGCAGCGGCGGCGGCAGGTGTCTGCGTGGCTTCACCGCCCGGCTACTACTCGGGTGTGTCATAAGGCATGTGTTCTAGAGTGGGACCGCGCAAAGGTGTTGTGTTGTGTCCCACAGCAGGGCACATCAGAGCAAATAGGCGAGCGGCGCCCTCGCGCGTGCGCGTCAGGTGTTTTTAGGGAGCTTTCGGACCGTTCCGTGCAATTTTATTGGTCAGTCGATTTTCCATCAGGAAGATCCGAGGTCACTTGTTCAAAAAATTTCCTCTCGGAAATTTGCTGCTTTGACACCCCTGACAGCAGTAGTGAGTCTCTCACGTTCTCCAATTTGTTTGCATTGTCGGTGGGAGGTCGGGAGGGAGGGACGTTACCACTAGTACAGCAGTACTAGAGTTCGGCGTCCATTGTCGTGGTCTCCAGACGGAACCTCCAACCATTTTCGTTTCAAGGTGATACCCACCGATGTGAATCCACGAAGCGCCCCGAAGTGACGTTTCGAATTACGCCGCACCGAGGCCACGAGACACCCCAAGAAGGCAAGAAGGCGCGCGTCAGCTGAACCGCGTCACCTATTCTCGAGTGACGACGTGTGCATGCGTTGAGCGAAGGGAAACAAACTTGAGTAGAGAAGTGCGTGCTCTGGGATAGATGATGAGATGGCTGGGTGCAACAGGGTTTGGCCTGCTGGTTGCTATGGAGAAAGCTCGGGCGTTCAACGTGATGATTCAGAGGGAGGCTGTTGTTGGCTCGCCAACTTCGCGGTCGGTGATGGGTGCTACAGTTACACGGGCATCCCCATTGCAGCGAAGGTGAGATTTTCGTCTCTCCTGCCTGATCAAACCTATTTCTATCTCCTAGTTGGGCCTGTCGGAAAATTCTATCATCTATGTCAACATGTCAAGTATTCGCATGACGGGCGCGCGGCGAATAAATGTGTGCGTGCGAGGAGGATGTCCGTGTCGGTGTCAGCGCCCAACTTACCTTAAAAGGTACTATCGGGTTGCGGTTCGTTTTCCTTAGAAGGTAACGACAGCATTCTCTACCGCCTTCGGCCGCGATATCTCGTATGGAGCAATGGTCATTTGATGTATCTTCGATATGTCGTTGCTTTATAAAGTACCTTGAGCGAAAGCCGCATGGACCGAGGATTCTCCTGTAGGAGAGTGGGGGAAACTCTAATACTCTGTGGACTTTGAAGACCCTGCACTCCATCCGCAAGATAATCCCTCGCGATCTCTTGTCTGATGTCGAGAAAGCTCTTGGGCACCATGTTGCCACAACAGACCAAAGTAGCGAAGACTAAAAGTAGCTGCGGTAGGGGCAAAGCTGGGTATTGTTGCTTTTGTATTATGCGCTGGGCACAAGAAATTTAAACGTAGAGGTTACACGCAGGCAGTAAAGACTCAACACGATTCCAGGCCTCAGGATCCCTGGAGTTGTTGATGTTATTCGTGGGCGTGACGGATACGCCCAGTACTACACCAGAGAAGAGTCACTCCGCCTCTCTTGCGGGCGTTGGCTTAAGGGAAATTCCCGGGGTCGGCTCGTTGTGGTCCCCTGGGAATTTCATGGACTCCAAGTGCCGCGCGCAGTTCGGATCTACCTCTGCTTCAAGTCAGGCGTTCACAGAACCCGACACATGGGGGAAACGAAGCCCAGAGCTTTCGCCGTGGTAAAAACGGTCTGCGGCAACAATGACTTCGACTCCGAAGGCATGCAGAGAGTTTTTAATTGCCAGAGAGACAACCCGACAGGTGGACCGTTTTTGCCTGAGAACAACGAGGTCAAGGGGCACAGGGCCCCGACTGCGAGGGCCTCTCTCCCGCTCATGATCATGCGTCAGGCATACTCTATTCCAAACTGCCCCACAGAGGTACCCTTTGGGACAGAATCGCGCACACACCACGAAAGGAAGAAAACGTGCCACTTGTACAACATCGCCTACAGAACGCCCTTTGAACCGCCCTTGCTTTCCCTCCGAAGACGGGAAAAGAAGGCGTCGATGCGTGACTATGTGGCGTTGCCAACGCACTACCATCTGCACAGAGAGCTGTTCGACAGCCCATCTGTCGGTACTTGGGCCCTGCCCGCTACAGAAAACGCCACGCATTCTCCAAAGGTTCGACACAAAAAGAGCTTGAAAATGTGAACAGGTGCTCAGTTAAGAACCCATTACTAAAACCTGTATGAGAATCCTTTACTAACTCCTGTAGGTCGACGGTGGGTTTGTCACCCCACAGGGGGGGGGGGGGGTACTC